AAAAAAAAGAACCCAACCCCCAAGCCTTCAGTATGTGTATCCCAACCCCAGTCCTAGCCTTCAACAAACCGAACGAGATTTATCATCACTCGTCTTGACTTACCGACAGCGAAAGGTTGTCAGTAAATCGAAACACATCTGCCCCGTCTGTCTGCCTCGCGCGTCAAGCAATAAGAATCCCTTACAGTTACAGACGATAGCCGTGGCAGCAGCAGATACAATCTCCTGCCGAATCTCCTGCCCCGCGACATACATACGCTCCCCAGACCTGGCTGTCCCTGAGCCGCTGCCGATTGACCGTAATTGTTGCAACATCTCGCGTGGCCTTTCGAGCGTCACCTTTGCTCGGCAAGGCTTGTGGGCGTGTGTGGAGGGCTTTTCCTTGTCTTCTGGTTTGTCTGCTGGAAGTGTGTGGATGAGACTTACGTCTTTTTTGGCCGGGTGCTTACAGAGAGCCGCAGTTGGCTGGCTTTTCCTTGTCTTCTGGTTTTGGTTGTTTGAAAGTGTGTTCGTTTATGAGACTTACGTCCTTTTTGGCGGCTTGACTCGGGTTGTGGGTGGTTCACGGGTGCTCTGGTGTGGTTTGCTACTTCTTTCCTATCAAACATCTGTCGTCCTTATTTCTCCTCCTTCTTTTTTTTGTGTAGTATATTACTCTCCTCATTTTTTTGTGTTTGTTACTCTCTTGTAACACCTCTAATCTCCGGCACTTATATGACCTTATTGTGTTGCAAGTGCCGTAAAACTCTTACTAAAACTAAAATGATTTAAATTTTGTCGATAGGGGCGAGTAAAAAAACGTCTAACTGTGGGTGGTTGGTGGGTGCTCTGGTGTGGTTTGCTTCTTCTTTCCTATTAACATCTATCGTCCATATCTCCCCTCCTTTTTTATGTTTGTCACTTTCTTGTAACACCTCTAATCTTCGGCACCTATATGACCTTATTGTGTTGCAAGTGCCGTAAAACTCTGCCTAAAACAAAACTCTCTGTGTCCCCCACAGGCCACCAGCTGAAGCAGTGTAAGACAGGCCAGGGGTTCTTCTGTGAGCAATGCTCGGACAAAACTTTCCAGCCCAACGAGAACTGGATGGGAGACAAGTGCCGCCTCAGGTGAGTACTCGCTGGGTACACCAACTCACGTGCGCTAATCATTATCATCGTCATCATCATCATCATCAGCAGCAGCAGCAGCATCACATCGTCATCATCATCATCATCATCATCATCATCATCATCATCATCATCATCATCATCGTCATCATCATCATCATCATCATCAGTTTCAGTATTATTATTGTTAGTTTTATTGTTATTGTAAATATTATTGCCCATGGGAGCTCACACACTGCTCAATCTTTGGCCTCATAAGCGAGTGGTTGGAAAGTGCCACTTGTATACCCTGCTTCTTATCTTCCCTCCGTTGTTTCTGTCTGTCTATCAGTTGTTTCTGTTTGTCTGTCTATCAGTTCTTTGTCTGTCTGCCTGTTGTTTCTGTCTGTCTGTCGGCTGTTTCTGTTGTTTCTGTCTGTCTATCGGCTGATTATGTTCTTTGTCTGTCTATCGGCTGATTCTGTTCTTTGTCTGTCTATCGGCTGATTCTGTTCTTTGTCTGTCTATCGGCTGATTCTGTTCTTTGTCTGTCTGTCGGCGTTTTCAGTT